CAACCCAGACCTTCCTATGATAAATAGAATTTTACTAAGTTTTTCAAATATCCTTGTAAGTAACCTCTAAAAACCAGCAGTACCTTACAGCAGTGTGTAAGCCCCACTTGTGTATACCTGTCTTGTAATTCCTAGGTTCTCTGTATTAAAATCCAGGTAGGCTGGTAACCGCTGGAGCTTATTTGATATTGGGTACAGTCTGGCAAAGTTTGTAAGGTCAGGATTACCTACAAATCTGTAACTCTTGAGCAGTTTTTTATTCCATGGTGTGTGTCGATGCGAGCCGTGCAGCAGATGACAAGTGTAACTAAACTTCTGAACAGGTCATTATTAATTTGGTGGATCAGACGGGCAGAGAGAAGATTATTGGAGATGCTTACCTTAAACAAGTTCTTCTGTACAACAATGCACATCTGACTTACGTCTCATTTGACTTCCATGAGCACTGGTAAGAAACCTTTTAAAAATGTCTCTTTGCATCTTTTTTCTTCTTAGCATGAAAGGAGACTGTAAGGGAGGAGAGAAGCCATTATTATTTCTATTTCTGCATGAACCACGTATTTTAAATAGAAAGAACGCATTTTGGGAAAAAGAGCACTATGAAAGTTCAGATTTGGATAACCAAGCACTGCTGTTTGATCTTGTGTCCCTGCCCTGTTAAACATGCAGTTATTAGGCAAAACTTAAGTTGTTATGCACTTCAAGCAAGAGTTTCCTTAAAAATGCAAGGAAAGTAAAGCTGTGGCTGACCTGCTTCTCGAGCTATGTAGCATTCTGCTCCTAATTATTACGAGGCATTCTTCTGTCTCTCTTGCTTGTTTCTCTAAACACAATGGGTTCTTTCACAACCCTGATGCTGCTGTTCCATTATAAAATACACTGGATTTTATTTTAATCCAGTATGGATGGTTGCTGTTATCCTGACTCCACTCCGGTATTGTCACAGTCTAGTGCAGTGTTCACATGCCCAAAGACATGATCTGTCACACAGGCGTGTGTTTCTCATGCTTCCCTCACGCAGACTGCGTTTGTGTACAAACATGGGGTCTAAAAACTGTTTTAATCTTCATTTCCTAACTTAATCCAGGGATTGCATCTGGCCTGGAAAAGCATTACTGACTGAATAAGCGTGTCATTAGTGGATATTGTCTGGGGCTAGGGGGAAGGGTTAAAAACCTTATAATAGTAAGGGCCTTTAAGAGATTTCTTTTGGTAGCACTCCTGACATCCTGAATTGATTTGATACTTACTCTTTTGTTTAAATGAGTTTTCATTTTTGCCTGTTTGCTTTTTTCCTAAGGACTGCTGTAGGAACCAGGATTGTTTCTTTTTGTCCTGTGGGCATGAGTGAGCAGCGAACAAGGCTGAAAACAACCTGGTGGGGTGCGGGGAGTGTGTCTGTAGGTGTGTGTTCTGTAGAATCTCTGCTAAATCAGGGCAGGCCATCCCAACTTCAAATCTACAGCGTTTACTTCTGTTGAGACCATGCCGAAAATGAGAACAGGGCGTTGTACCTGCCAGAGCAGCAGCACACCTGTTCTTTCCTAGGGAGGCAGCATTCAGGAATAGGAGTTCTTGAATTTCAAGATTGGAATCTCTTATCTTAGATTTAGATATTGAAGTGTTCTTTATAATACTTCTGAATATTGGCTGCTATTTGAAGTTTATTGCAGAAGAGAATGTCTGTTTTTCCTATTTAGCCAAAACACTGTTCATTATTTTCTGTTATTTGTAGCGTTAAGTAAAGAAAAATCCCTACTCCAGTTCAAACTAACTTCTGTGAAATTCTGTTTTAGCCGAGGAATGAAGTTTGAAAATGTTCAAACACTGACTGATGCCATTCATGATATCATTCTTGACATGAAGTGGTGCTGGTAGGTACTGAATGGTTTTTAGACAGGTGTGGGACATTTTTAGAAAAAAAAAAACACCAGTACATATTCAGAGGCCTTGATTTTTGTCATCACTGGTATATTTTGTGTTCTCTTCATGCTCAGCTTGCGTGTTCAGAGTTTGTGTTCTGAAGTGTTGGTGTTATACATGTATAAGAGCAAAAATTCACAATTTTCTGCCTGAGGTTTACTCTATTTAACACTCCTAGGCTCTCTTACATTTAATGTAAAACACGTTGACCCATGAACTGTAGAACCTTGCTATTGAAAGGCCACGTGTGACCTTTGTACGGATTGAGGTTTGTGCGTTTTGGGAAGGAGTATGGCTGCAGTCTGTCATCAGTAATTATATATTGCGCAGTATGGACTGCGTGAAGCATTGATGTCGTTACTGTTGGTTTCTAAGCTTTGAAATTCAGTGCCTTCTCTTTAAAGGTCCTATTAAGTAGGAATAATGTTCTACATCTGACAGCATATCGAGGCTGTGGCCCCAGCAAGGTGTGTGTTGGATATCTAGCCTAGCTGAAAGAGGAGGATGGGTGGGAACGAGAATTAACTGATTCCCACTGGGGTGATGAGGGAAACTATAAGTAGTATGTAATGTGTGAAGTTCCCTGCTGTTTGTAGAAGCTGATAAATTACACTGGGTTTTAAGTGCCTCAGTGTGCTTTTGCTCTGTTTTTCTGTTGAAAGGGTCGACCAAGCTGGTGTGATTTGTAAACAAGAAGGCATTTTTCGTGTTAACTGCATGGACTGCCTGGATCGTACCAATGTCGTGCAGGCTGCTATTGCAAGAGTGGTCATGGAACAGCAGGCATGTATACTTCCTGTATTTTTGCAGCTGAGTACCTCTAACTTGATTGTTATTCACAGGGAAACTGTGTGTTTGAAAAATGCTAAACTAACCTGTACTGAAAAAGATCTTTGCGAACTACTTGGAGAGCCACGAGGCTGAAAGTAGGTACAGCTAAAATAACTCAATCACTCTGGAACAACAGTGCCTGGTCTCCTCCTTCAGGGAGGAAATGACTGTCCACATCTTCATCTTAAGGAGGATTCTAGTGATTTGATTTAGTCATTTTAATTTAAGTCGTGCAGTAATGCAGAGTTTAAAACCAGAACACCCCCTCCTCCAAATGAGGTGTTAAAGGACTGAAATCTAACATAGAAGTTGGATGCTATTTTAGATGCTTTGAGGTGAAATACTGTGGTGCAGCATGTAGGGAGATGAGTTGTCTCTTTTGAGTGTAGATGAGAAACTAATTCGTGGTACAAGATATCCCAGATAGCTGATGACTGTGCTGTGGAATAGTTTTCCCTGTGTAGGGAGGCATTTCCAAGCAGAGAGAGTTCTTCCTTTTAGTCTTTTTCCTCTTTGCCCTGCCCCTCACTTGCTTCTTTATGCAGAAGCTCAGTGATAATTGTCTTTCCTTGTGAAAACTTAAAAGTTCTGTAACTCTGAAGCCTCAGTTACAGCCCAGCCCAAAATGGACAAACCTGAGTGTGCTTGAAGCGAAGGATGAGGGTGAAATGGGCCCCTCGTTAGGGTGAGGAATGGATGTCTCTGTGGTATCTGGCAGTTCCTGTTTGTTATCTGCTGTTAGGAACTCCTGGCATAGTGGTTGGGAACGAGGGGTGGGACAATCCCCCAGATGTTAATTTAGAATAGGATTTCTGTCTACATTAATGCTGTGAGTTCCAAGGCAATATTGTGAAGAGGACTTCAGCAATATTGGCCTGTGACATGCTACTGCATTCTCATACTGTAGCTGAAGTACTGCAAACTAAGAAATGCCCTAAGCTCTGGAAGGCTGAGAATGACACATACCTTGCCCTTGCGCTTCCTTGGAACCACAGGACTTGTTTTCTCTCAGCTGGGAACTTGCTCGGGCTTTGAAGTCAGTGGGCCAGACCCGTATCAGTTTTTATCTAGCTTGCAAAGAGTGCTTGAGGATTTTCTTACTGGTTGTAAATTGAGGTTTGCCTATGAGTTAGTCCAAGTTACGCCTGCAGTTGGCCTAACGCTTCGTGACCGCGCTGCCGTTGCGTATATGCTGCTTCACTCATTTAGTGTGTGCAAAAAGGCTTAAGTCTCGGCTACAATACAAACTTATCTTGGAAAAGCTGAAGTACTGGTTGTTCTGAAGAGTAAGGTATCTTGCTGTCTGCCATTGATACTGAAAGTAACTGTCCAAAATGCACAAGCATTAATAATAACAGCATGAATTTGTTTTAAGGTTTTGTTTTGTGGGAGGAGTAAGTTTGAAGATGGCACCACAACATTTGCTTTAGTGTCTAGAAACAAAAGATTTAAGACTCCAGTGCGCTTTTTGTTGTAACTGGAAAGGGATTCCATGATTTTCAGACCTTGAGGTCAGGAATGCGTTTGCAATAGAAGACATGAACTTGTTTATCCACATTGAAGTTCAGTCATGTCTGTTCTTTTGACAGCTCTCTGTAGAAACTAAATGCTTCCTGTATCTTGAGTAATGTAGAATAACTTGTTTTCCCGCAGCTAATTTGTTTCATGGTTGACACCTACATCCGTAGTTAATATATTACTGCTGCATCCAGTGATAGGATGTTTAACAACACATTAGTAATTATTTTCTAGTAATTAATTTAATCTGACAAACTAGCAGAATGGGTTCTTTTTTCATTTATGTAAAAATTTATATAAAACTTAAATGCTTGGCAGTTGTTCCCATTTTTTCTATAAAGCTCTGAGAATTATTTTTACCTTGAACCTTGTATTAACACATATGTAAAATTCCAGCTCAAAAAACTGGGTGTGATGCCACCAGAACAGCCTCTGCCAGTGAAATGCAATAGGATCTACCAGATAATATGGGCCAACAATGGAGATGCCATAAGCCGGCAGTACGCTGGCACAGCGGCCTTAAAGGTAAAGAGCGTTATCTGTTCTGGTGATGAGCACTGTGCTGTGTGACAGGCTTTATGTCCAGTGGAGAGGTCTTGTACCTGTAGCAAAGACTGCCAAATACTCTGCATGGTGTTTGTCTTGAAGAGATAATGAGGCTCTTCAATAGAAGGATGATCAGAGGGCTGAGGCACCTCTCCTGTGATGCTAAGCTGAGAATTGGGCTTGTTCAGCCTGGAGAAGAGAAGGCTCCCGGGAGACCTTATTGCAGCCTTCCAGTGCCTGAAGGGGCTATAAGGAAGCTGGGGGGGACTTTTTACAAGGGCCTGTAGTGACAGGACAAGGGGTAACGGGTTTAAATTGAAAGCAGGGAGGTTTAGATTGGATAGCAGGAAGAAATTCTTCCCGGAGAGGGGGGAGAGGCACTGGAACAGGTTGTCCAGAGAAGCTGTGGATGCCCCATCCCTGGAAGTGTCCAAGGCCAGGCTGGATGAGGCTTGGAGCAACCTGGTCTAGTGGAAGGTGTCCCCGCCCATGGCAGGGGGGGTGGAACTGGATGGGCTTTAAGGTCCCTTCCAACCCAAACCAGTCTATGATTGTGTTTTGTATCACACAGTGTGAACTGGCAAAGACTTGAGTGTCTGGTTGTCCTGTGGCAGTGGTGGCTGTAGTTTAACTTTGGTTAGATTCAGGTCTAGATACAAAGCATAGCTGAGCTGAGAGTTGAAGATCTCTATCAAGCATTACTTTAAGGATGGTTATAGTACTTTTAAGCAGTTAGAGCACTTCAGAAAATACTGTGAAGGACTGAAGAGCAGGATATGAAGGTAATAGGGTCATATTAATTCATTACATTTTTCGAAGTTCTTCTCTTAATTAGTTGTAATGCAGTCTGTCCACCAAGAACAGAAATTGGGCATGAAACTCCCTACTGTTCACTTCTGCTGCTTTGAGAAGTCATAGAATCTGAGTTATTTTGTAGGGTCACTGGTGGAACCATTTTTAGTATTTGGCATTGGAAGAACTTTTACAGTGGGAATGCTGAACACTTACATATTTTGAAATCTCTCTACTGAACTTTGATTGGTCTGTCACATTAATCTTAAGGAAACCCCCAGCTTGACACACTTGTATTGATCAGAAATACTTTAAACTGTTAAATCTGAGGCACAGAATTCTATTTACAGGTTAAATTTTCAGCCATTCTTCTTGAAGATTTCTCTAGGTGCTATTGAGCTTCATGGATTAAATATATTTGCAGTTTAATTCTGATACTTCTTTTAATTTGAAAGTGAAACACGCTTGAAATGGTCTTAGTAGTTGGCGTGGCTTTTAGAACTGCTCTGTGTCAGTGTTCAGTGTCTCTGCAAATAGAATCCTTTAATGCAGTGTAACTACTAAAATTGCTTTTTATTCAAATTCTAAGCTTTCTGTGGCCTAGAAGCTTTCGTTTCTGATCTTGGGACGATACACACTATTTTTCGTCGCATGATTTGCTTGTCTTGTTTTGGTTGCAAAAGCAGAGAAGATGAGAACCATTCTTGAGTAAACTCCAGTCTTTTCCATTGTTCTAGTAGTGTTACTTTAATGTAAAAGGCCAAAAAATGTGTGTTTTTGAGGTATTCAAGCACCTCAGTGACCCACGTCTTGCAAGTTCTGCTTTAACGTTAGCTGGCAAGTATGTCCAGATCACTGTGTTCCTTGGGGCTTTGTATGAGTATCATCACAGGTCTGCCAAAAGCATAAGATGCTCTGCAGGGTTGAACAATGCCATGAGAAGTAGATGCTCTTTGACAATGAGTGTTTTCAACTTCTGTATGAAACAGTTACTTGAACATAATTGCTGAGTGTCAGAGTGCCAAAGCTTTAGAGCCGAGACCGCCGTTTCCCAGCTGTATGTGCATGACTCGCATGTTGTGTGTAACAGGGCGACTTCACACGGACTGGTGAAAGAAAGCTGGCGGGGGTGATGAAGGACGGAGTTAATTCTGCAAACAGATACTACTTGAATCGTTTCAGGGATGCTTACAGGCAAGCAGTCATAGGTAAGAGTACAGATTCAACTAAGCTGAACTGCAGTATTGAACAGAGCTTGTTGAAATCCTCTCGGCTTGGTCTCTTTGGTGCTTTTTCTTGAATCTTAAAAGCACTTGGAGTGTTTGTGATGTGGTGGACACCATATAGGGCAGTCACTGACCATTTGGAGATTAAACAGCCTTCAGTTCGAAGGGATTACGTGCGGTGTAACTCAGTGTAGAATTTGCTCCCAACTTCATTTTAGCATTAACTGTCTTGTAACATCTCTGTAGGACAAAGATACGTAGCCTTTCTTAAAGAGGTGAGTTAACTCTTATGTTTCAGTGAGAGGAAGTAGTAGTGTACCTACTGAGGTTTCAGTTTCAGGCAACATTCTGTTCAGAAAAAATAACTATTTTTCCAGACTATTTTCAAGTATGAAATCTTTGGAAGGAATTTACGAAGCAATCAACAGACTGTTATTGAATATCACTTTTCATTGTTGGTTCCTTGTTCTGATATTGGTATGTTTTATGTCTTTTATCTAGACTTGATGCAGGGAATCCCCGTAACAGAGGATCTCTACTCCATATTTACAAAAGAGAAAGAGCATGAAGCCCTGCACAAGGAGAATCTGAGAAGCCACCAGGAATTGATCAGCCAGCTGCTGCAGAGCTACATGAAACTGCTCTTACCAGATGATGAAAAATTCCATGGAGGATGGGCACTTATTGACTGTGATCCAAGGTTTGAATAAAGTCGTAACTGATGAGCTGCTACTGATACCTTTAACTACTGCTGCATGTGTTAATTACCACTGATACTAAATGATTTCAGTAGCTGATGTTAAGACAGTACAAGTGGACAGCTTTTTGTGGAATGGCAAGAGTCCCTGAAGGGATTGATCAGTTGTAATTGGAAAAGGAAAGGTCCTCTAAACATGTGCTTTCCCAAAGTGCCGTGAAGACGGTGCATGCTGGAGTTACCCTGTGAGACACCACCTGGCAGTGCATGCATTCAGTTAATACTGCCAAACTGTGGTAGGCACCGTGAGAAGAATGTCTAACCACCCTTCGTTCCAGACGGGGATGTTCCCAATAAGGAACAAGCTGTTGTTCCTTATCGCTGTATAGAGAAAGTGTGACTTGACTTCAAGGCCATAACTAATCAGACTCAATTCCTGTGTGGTGAGTCAGTAGTAGGAAAGCCTGGATTTCTCTTCATGAGAAGTGCTGAGCATAAACTTCACTGATTAAGTCTTCTTATCAAGTTCAGAGTTCACTGACTTATCAAAAATAGTGGTTAGGTCTTCTGCAGGTTAAACCTCGGCATCTAAAACCAGCAATACCTATTCAGACCACAGACTTGTTGACTTTACTGGGTCTGAGATCTTTTTCCATTTCCCTGTTAGCATTTTTAATAGCTTGTGGGTCTTCTACTAATTTTTGGACCTGCTGCAGACCCATTTGAGCTATTGGGTAACTCCAGGTTTAAGAAAAGGGAGAGTGGTGGTTACACGGGCCTGCTTACTGTATGGGAGGTCTCATGACACATCACGTTTTGGCTCCTGAAGGGTCTCACCAAACTTGGCTTTTCAGTGGCTGTGAAGAGGTGGGAGCATCACACAAGATAACAACTATAATTGAAACCTCTTGTGATGTGCCTTGAATGTGTAAAAGTGTCCCTAAAATACACTGGGGGGATGGGTTACAGCTGTGCAAATAAAACCTTCTCCCCTGTATTCATTCTTCTTCCCCTTCCTTAGTCTCATTGATGCTACTCATAAGGACGTGGATGTTCTGCTGTTACTTTCTAATTCTGCCTACTACGTGGCCTAGTAAGTTTCCAGTTTCTCTTACTATGTGTAGTTTTTCTCGTGATTTGATTTAGCCGAATAGGAAGCATTAAATTCTGATTTTCTTTTTTCTTTCCCCTCCTAGTTACGACGACGAGATCGACAAGGTGAATCAGTACCAAAGGTTAAGTCTTGAAGCTCTGGAAAAAATAGAGATAGGTAAGAATGTAGCTGCCATCTCTTTCCTGAATGCTCTAAAGCATAGATGGAGTACGCATTAAAGCATCCTACGAGTACATTGAAACAGCAACCCTCAATATATCGGACAGATCCTGCGTAGCCCACCGTAGCTAGAAATGGGTAACGGACACCAGAGTTGAGTCTGCACTCTTAGTCCTGTCTCTTGCTCCTGTTTGAAATGGGAACTTCGATCATTGGTAGGATTCTAGTATTTTCTCTCTTTGAAACTCTTAAACCCTGGGTTCATCAGAAGAAATCTCAGTATTTATGAAATGACAGTAACAATCGATCACCTTCTGCAGTGAATCGCCAGGTTTGTGCGCTCAGGGCACTCTTTGGTGCTAATACAGCAGCTGGCTCTCAGCCGTACCTCAGATCTGTTTCACAAAGCTCCTCTTTCCCAAGGTCTGATAAGAAAGATACTATTTAAGTTAATCAGCATAAGGTGACTTTGTATTTATTGACTCAAGAATGTAACATCTGCCGGTTAAATTAGCATTTTCAGTGGAAAGCGTTCAAGATGTGCTATCTTTGACTTTAAAGATGAGAAAGGGATTCCAGTTGGAGAGGTGGGAGGGAAATTTGTGGCCCCCAGTGTGTGCTCTCCCCAGTAGAGTTTAATCTTCCATTACACAATGCATAATGATTTCATTATCTCCTTACTGTAATTTTCACTATGTATGTGTGGTTTGGAAGAGTTCAGGGGAAAGGAGTCTCCTGTGTGGAGATCCATAATGCATCCTGACGTGCCGAATATATTCCAAACATCTAGACCAAATACTTCATGAAAATGAAAAAACCACGCTCTTCAACGATCCCAGTGTGATGCTGTGCCTTGAGGAATGGAAGTACTTGGTCTAAAGACCATCTTGAAACTTGTGTTACTTGCACTTGGTAATAACACACTGGCTTTCTTTTGAATCCCTGCAGGAGCATACCCTAAAACACAGGATGTAACAGGTGTAGAACCATTTTTTCCCCCTGTTTGAAAGGGTGATCTGTAATAAAAAGTCAGGCTGGATTATAATAGCCGGACGCAGAGAGTCTAGTTCCTTTTTGAAAGTAATTGATTGTTATTGTGAGGATGTTTTCACAATACTCAGGAAAACAAGAAGTGTACATATGTTTAGGTACGATTTTTGCAGTATCTCTTTCAGTGTGTGCTTAAAGATTTCTCACCTCCTGGGTGAAATTTCTCAGGGCCTGAGCCGACTCTCTTTGGCAAACCCAAGTTCTCCTGCATGAGGCTGCATTACAGATACAGAGAAACGAGTGGCTATTTTCACACGCTCAGAGCTGTGGTACGCAACCCTGAAGAAGATGGGAAAGGTTTGTTTCACATGTAAAAGCTGTATAAATAAGTGTTTAGTGTCTTTCTAGGAATCATTTTTTCCATTGCTTTTAGAATAACTTCTGCCAAAGGATATTTATTTCCTTTTAGCTACTGATGACTTTAATGTAATTCAATATGTGAGGTGTAGAACCAAGAAAACCCTGTACGAGCCTTCCTGTGTGAACATTAAGATGTTGTTTTAATACAAAGAAATAGGGCTGTAAAGCAACATGTCTCTCTAGAACTGAGACATTTCCATGTCTAGTTCTTTACTGCTCCAAAACCCAGTAAAATTAATTTAGTTCCTAAAGAGTGGAAGAAATGGATTTATTTACTGAAATCAATGTCTAGAAATGCTCTTGCTTGTTTTTTAACTAGATTAAATGAACACTAATGAGGGAAAAATACCACTTCTTACCTGGAGCACTGAGTTTTGTCAACAAGGATCAGAATGAGTGTAAAAGCTTCTCTTCCTTCCACAAATGATGAATCATGGCAGTGATTCACTTACACCCAGTATTTAGGGCTTAAGGAGAGTGTGTTCTTTAAGCTTATTTAGTAAGCTTTAAATCAGAATTGCAACTTGTAGGCTGCAACATTCTGTAGGGTGAAAGCAAAACAACCAAGAAAACCAAACTGACATTACAAAAATAAATCTGATTTTAGATTCTGGGATATGGGATTTTGAAGGTGTGTTTTTTAAGGGTCTGACAGGCTGTTAATTGGATTTCAGACACTCTTCAGTGCATTGCCGAAATGCTGAGAATCACAAAGCAAGCAATGGGATTAGATGTGCCCATCATTGAGAAAAAGCTGGAGAGGTGAGTACGTGACTGATGTGAACCTTCTGCGTCCCACTTTTCCAGCAGGCTGTGGTAACAGTCAGATGAAAGAAAGAAACACCTGTGCCTGGCTCCTGTGCTGGGGGTTAATTTGTCTGTATGCCGCTTCCGAAAGCACTGTCTGCAGGCGCGTACCGGAAGGTGTGAGCAAGGATCCTGTTTTATCCGTGCGTGCTGATGGACGGCGCACCCCGGCAACTGTGAACAACGTGCTGCGAATCGGGTGGTTCGTGATCCGTTTGTCAAACTTCACTTTTCCTGTCCGAAGAGTCTCTGCTTCTGTAGAAAGAAGACAACCTGTCAGTTGTCAGTCTGGCTTGGGTTCCCCTGCTGCTGGGTTTCACAAAGGCAGACGTTGCAGGTCCTGCGTGAAGAATGGCTTCAGAAGCTGTGCTTCTGAACTCCTGAGTGTTAGTCAGAATGGCACAGAAGTCTTGTTTTGCAGGTCCGTTGAGAGGAAAGGGCACACGAAGGCGTAGGTGAGAATCGAAAGTACATACTAGAATGTTTTTGAACATTATCTGTCAGACACCTACAATTAACCAGAAGTAACCTTTATCCTAAAGTATCAGTGAGGTGTTAACAGTGAGGAATTCACCTACAAAGGACAGTGGAGTAGAAATAAGAGGGTGGCTATCTGTTTAGCACGTTTTATCAGTTCAAGTGTGATCTGCTGCATTATTTTGGACCCTTCCATTTGGAACTATTAGAAAATGTGTAGCACAGCTGTAAATTGTCAGGTGAAAAGCGGTCGGGCACATCTCGCCATCGCTTTCTTCTGCGTTTGATTATTGGGATATTATCTCAGCTGCTTTTCCCAGCTGAGCAGAAAGTGCAGCATGAAAATCTTGCTGGTTTTTAGAGGTACCGAAGACTTCATCTTTGCTAAATCTGGCCGCTGAGTAGAGCTTACACAGAGTTAGAGTTACAAATACAGAGAATCCAAATCCTGTTCCGTCTAAAACCACAAATGCCTGCAGAAGCTTCCTCGCCCCTCGTTTGGTTACCATCCTGTAGCAACTTTTGCTTCAGTTGTTTTGAATGTGATCAGCTTATATGGGTACAGTTGGATAAGGAAAGGATAACGTCGTTACTGAAATGTCCATCTCTATTACAGAAATAGACTGGAAGAGAGTAAATCCTTGGTGTTTATAAATGAGACTGCTTCTTTTTCTTCCAGGAAGAGCAGTAAACCTCACGAAGACATCATTGGCATTCGGTCGCAGAACAGAGGGTCCCTGGCCCAAGGCAAGAATTATTTACTGAGCAAGTTCTCGTCTCTCAATCAGAAAGTGAAACAAACCAAATCCAACGTGAACATCAGCAATCTTCGGAAGCTGGGCAGCTTCACCAGACCTGAAGTGAAAGTCAATTTTTTAAAACCAAATTTGAAAGTGAATCTTTGGAAATCAGACAGCAGCCTTGAAACTTTAGAGAATCCAGCGGTGGATACTAAAGCCCATACTGAGTCCGATACAGAAGCATCAGATAATGATTCCTTCCACTCGGATGACTTCCTGGCTAATTCTAAATCCGATGAGGACAACCAGCTAACTGATTCCCTAGAGAACATAGGGCAGACAGACTACGTGCTGCCTAGCTGCGGTATCATCGCCTCAGCTCCGCGGCTGGGCAGTCGGTCCCAGTCCATAAGCAGCACTGACATGAACATTAGCATTCATGTTCCATCCGAGCTCCACGTCGCCCAGGCTGGCCGGTCTGACTGTGAAGATGTAGCCATGCCTTCTGCTGACAACATGGAGATGGAATTTGCTAAACCCATTGATGTGTATTTCGACGCTCAGAGTAAGACATCGGATGTTTTGGAGGCTGAGGCTGGTTCTCAAGAGCCCCATCTCATCAAAAATCAAACCAGCAATAATACAACTACGAAGGCAGAAGCCAAGGCTGAAGCTATCAGAGACATTCCTTCCAGGCCATCTAAGTTGGACGTACAGTCTTCTGAGCCCAGCCCTCAGCTCCTGGCTGTTGGCGGGGCTGACTGCAGCAAGTCTCATAAAAGCCCCGGCTCTGTATCTGGTAACCTCGAGACGGGACTCCACGCGACTCCTTCCCCAGCTGACGGCAGCAGCAGCAGAGCTGTATCTCCTTTTGCTAAAATTCGCAGCTCCATGGTCCAGGTCGCCAACATCACGCAAGCAGGATTGACTCAAGGGATTAATTTTGCTGTGGCAAAGGTCCAGAAGAGCCCTGCGGAACCAGAAGCTATAAACGAAGTCAAACAGAAAGAACTGCAGGAAATGTTCACGCAATGCCAGACACGAATAATTCAGATCTAGTTGCTGATCTGGAAAGTCATCTTCTATAGACTGAAAAAAAAACTACATCAGGACTCACTGTGGCAAGAACTGCTACTGGATACTGGGATCAATACTCTAAACTTGTTTACAGGAAGTGAGAGATGGAAATGAATTTGGTTGTGACCAAGCTTCACAACTCCTCCCTCCGGCGATGGGGACGAAGGAAGGGTAAACCAATACTTAAACAGGTAGCTTAGACACTGGGGTTTAATACGCATGCTGTCTATCCAAAACGTGTTGCACACTTCCTTTTGGAGACTAATTTTGTAGCTCTTCTGACCTGTGTAGAAAGTATTTATACTGAAGAGGTGAGACTGCACTTCTGTGACCTTACTTACCTTGCACTGCACCAGCAAAATAACTTACCCGTAAATTACTCTTTATTTATTTTTGGAGTAGTATTTTTACTTGTTTCCAGTGAAGCTTTAGATGCAGCTTTCTAGGAATTGTGCCTCTGCAGCGGGAATTGATGCGTTTGTGTTGAAGTATGTGAACGAGGAACCGGGGAGTTTTTGTTGCTATCCTTTTGTTTCCACACATCCAGGGACACTTCCAGTAGAGATAAGGCCTGTAGATCCCATCGGAAATATCCACAAACCTGCAGTGCAAATTTAGTTTGTGGATTTTTTTTTTTTTTTATTCTCACTTGTTTTGAGGTGAGGGGAAACAGAATGACTGTCCTCCAGCTGTTGCCCAGGCAAAAGCTATTCCTATTACCTTTTTTCCAAATTCCTGGTAGCTTACTGTAAATTTCTGGCTCTGTGTAAAGCAGGAGAAGCCAGACAGCCGACCTTCCGGCATTGTGTCCCTCTGTGCTATGACCTTTTCAAAAACTCTCTTCTAATGACATAGTCCAAATACCTTCTGAAGCAGAAGGCCAAGTGTACTGTTCCCTAAAATGTGTGTTGCATCAGAGCGTAGTTGTCAGCACCTAATCAAAACCAAATTCATTACCAACTCCAGCTTTCCATACGTGCAGGATGAGGCTGCATCCACTCGTGCTGGGCATTGGATGAAAACTCCTTATCTGTGTGTCAAAAAACTACATCCACCTAAATTACTCCTTCCCAGAACTGCCTTGCCATGCCATCCTAGTGTAGGACACGATCCAAAAGCTACTGTCGTGCAGGATCTTACTCTGCTGTGGTTTGTAACTACAACCACCCTTTAGACCAGTGCCTCTGTGTTCTAGTCCGTGTGCTGTAGCTAGGCTGCACGTGGTGTTCCCAGGAAATAGTGTCATAGGGGTAGGGTAGTGCTGTGTCTTAGGACTTCCGGTGTGTCTGAAATGATTATCATCTAGTCCTGATGGTCAGAAACTTTGATAAACAAGTTTGATTTATTTATTTGTTTTATGAAAGTGATGTGGGTTTGGGTGTTCTGAGTGTGTCTATACTTGTGGCAATATTTAAAATTCAACTACTGCTGTATTTTAATGTGAGCAACATACATCAGATATTTTAATAAAAAAAGTGGACTCAGAAGATGGCTTTTGGCATGTGCTGTGGAGGGACATGGTACTCCAGGGCTGTGGGGTTTTAAGTTTTAAAGATGGGAGGGTTTTCTTGACTTTCTCTGGCTTAGGAGTTGCAGAGTGGTTGAAGCTGGAAGGGAGAGCTGGAGGTCCTCTGCTGAAGGAGGGCCATGTGGAGCTGGGTGCCCAGGACCATGTCCAGGCTGTTATCTCCAGGGATGGAGCCTCCACCACCCCCCAGCAACCTGTGCCAGTGCTCTGCCACTGTTCCAGTAGAATGTGTTCACCCATGTTGGGAGGGAACATCCTGAGTTTGAGGTTGTGCCTGTGGCCACTTGTGTCATCACTGGGCACTGCTGGAAAGAGCGAGCCTGGCTCTCAGGCAGTTACAGGCATCAGTGAGATCCTGTCATAGAATCAGACTGGTTTGGGTTGGAAGGGACCTCAACGACCATCTAGTTCCAACCCCCCTGCCATGGGCAGGGACACCTTCCACTAGACCAGGTTGCTCCAAGCCTCATCCAGCCTGGCCTTGGACACTTCCAGGGATGGGGCGTCCACAGCTTCTCTGGGCAACCTGTCCCAGTGTTTTTGCCTCCCTCACCAGGCAGAATTTCTTCCTTAGATCTAACCCAAATCTACTCCCTTTCAGTTTGAATTTGTTACCCCTTGTCCTGTCACTACCTGCCCTTGCAGAAAGCCAGGGACACACACCTGACAAGTCCTTTATCCTTTTCCTCGAGCATTGCACTGCTACAGCCCTGGCCTCAGGAGGGAGGTGAGAAGACAGATTTATGAGGGACACTCCTTAAGAGCTGCCTAAGCCTTGGTACTTGTAAAGGGTCTGGAGGAGCGAGAGGACATTCCAAGTATTTTGCTAATATTTTGGTAGGAGAAAGAGAGAGAAACTGATCTGTACAAACATTCACTTGGTGACTTCTACAGTCTGTGTCCTGCAGGGGGAAGGGTACGAATAGCTGGGAGCTCTCTCTTACTTTTAAAACAACCCACGTGGCTTAGTCAACAGCCTGGGGCAGATCTTCCTGGAAAGTAATTCCCGCTCTGCTGTTCTGGTTCATTCCTTTTTGCTCAGTATTCCACAACTATCATCTCCTTCCTGCTTACAAGATGTGAAACATGGGAGAGAATCACTGCCATGGCTTATCTGACACTAAAGCACCAAGTAAAGGTGGTATCAGCTTAACGTAAATTTGGCAGGAGCCTTTTTTCTTGTTCAGAGAAGGATGAATTGAAGCACAACGTAGAGTTAACTGCATCGCTGCCCCTTGCAGGCTGGCTCCACAAACCCTCCCTACTCCTACAGTCTGTCTCAGTCACTCCAGCTCCATCTTGGTTTAATGTTTCACTACTTAAACTCATCCTGCAACTTGTGATTTAACGGGGTAGCAAGGGCACGACATTCTCTGAAAAACAGCTCAAAGGGAGAGCAGGAGTAAGGTATATAGAGACAATTCTTAACACTTACTTGGTATTATTCCAACGTTTGAAACACAGTGTTACCTGTCATGTAGAAATAAGATACAGTTTGTATGTGAGTATCACCAATTGTCCTCTCACTCCTTTCTCTTTATTGTGGCACAACTCTTTTTTTTTAAAGCTCTCCCCAGAGACTGGAGAAGTTAGTCACGGTCTTCTCACAGAACAAGCTGTATTTCATGCTGGAACCTTGCCCTGGATACAATCAAATCCCTTAGTTATAGCACAATGTAATCACACTTACGCTGCTGCTTTGAGCACGACGTGCCTGAGCTCACCAACAATCCAGCTCTGGCTACCAGTGTCTCCGGTACTTTGCCGGCTGGTTACCAAAACCTCCAACACTCAAAACTCAGTGTTCAAGAATCACATCACAAACTGATTCCAGAATGGAGCCTCACTGCTGCCTATGAAGGGCTCTGGGTTAAATTTTTTTGTTATTAAAGGAAATAACTTTAATACTGATGTTGTGTAAAGTTTAATATCAAACAATTTGCTCATTGTTACCAATTTTCAATTACAAAACAGGCTCAAAAAGAGTTTCATAAAATATGTTTAACTGGCTGAACAGAGTTAGGTGTGTTCAGACTGAGAGGGTAAATATCTGTAACATTTTGGTACAAATTATCTACAAAACCTGGTATAAACAGTATTCCAATCTTAGTATGGGTTCCCTCTGGGATTAGACAAATCACAACTTCCACAAAATATTAAAGTTCGTTCCCATTAACACATTTTTGCTGCTGAAGTCTGGCTTTGCGCAACGCCTCCAGTTGTTTCGCTCTCAGCCACCTCTCTCTCGACAGTGTCGTCTGCCCGGCGCTGAGAGACAGGAACCTAGGCCAACAGAAACAGCAGTTAACTCCGAGCTTGTGCACGGGGCAGGTTTGATCAGCTAACACAGCACAGAGTCAGTTTTCTCTCCATATCCTATCAGCTCTCTCCATATCCTATCAGCTGGGAAGAAAGAGGGGAGGAAATATTTTGTCCCAGATCTTTCCTTAGGCAAGAGGAGCGAGGAAGAGGCAATGCCATCATCTGCTAGCCAGCCTCACGCGACTGCACCCAAACTGCAGGCTACCAGCACGGACTTGGTTACCAGCTTGCTGGGAGAGACTCCCGTTGGGACAACCGGCGCTACCCACCTGGCTACGAGCAGAGTCCTGTGCAGATCATCCGCTGTTATGCTCTCAGGGTCGTTCTTCCGCATTTCTACGAAGTCTTCTTCTACTGCCTGTAAACGGCACGGCGCAGCACGCAATTAAGCGTCACGGAAAAATCAACGCTACAAGAGGAGCTTTGAAGGAGCCAAACACCGTAACGACCCTTTTAAGAGAAACATTTCACCTCGTTGCTGTCAGGAAGCGAGCCTGCGTAAAGCCAGGCTAGTTCTCATCTTTGCAAAGAATTACTGTTCAGAGTGAGATTTGGAAAGCAGGATGCCTATAGAGCATGTACTGAACCACGCAAGAGTACATGTCCTTGAAGGCACGTTCTGGACAAGAAAATACTTGTTTGGGTTTTAGAAAACTTCAAGGAGAACAACTGGCAGGGAGAGCAAGGGGAAAATACAGCAGCTTCCTACTAAGGTCCCTTCAGTCTGAATATACAGCAGAAAACACTAAAAGAGTCTTCCATACCTTGGTCACTTCCTCAGATATACTGTAGTCCAGCAGCCTCAACAAACTTAGATAAATGCGAAATTTGTTCAAGACAGAGGGGAGCACTGCTGTTAGGAGGCTGTTCATGTACTCCTCCATGTTTGGTGGGATTATCTGGGGTTGTAAGTGGACTTGGCAATCTGACTGAAAAACAGAATTACATATCATCTCTTTCGACATCCTGGTTTGTTTTTTCTTTTTTAATTTTCTATTCCAAGACTAATTTAATCTCTAAAGGAACAGAAGTCACTATTTCCCAGAATTAAGGTAAGACAGTTCCCTTTTCAAAAGCCAGGGTGAAGCTCTTACTCAAGCAGGAATCAGTTTCACTTAGAGGCAAGAGAGCA